CTCTGTGGAGAATAAAAACTCGCTTTCCTCAGCAACAGCCGCTCTGAGGGATCGCTAGAGATTTGAGGAGGCCTCGAAAACGAGCAAAATCCTGTCAGAAATGGCAGCGTGGTACGAAAAGAAGAAGGATCGTCTCTTTGAAACACGGCTTGTGCCTTCCGGTTGTTTCCAGACTCGGGCCTGAAGTGTTGGAAGATGGTGGCCGGAAGGGACACAGGGAGGGAAGCGGCAGGTTAGGAAAATCAAGGTTTGTACTGATTTTCATTTAGTATTTATGCAGCATTTATTGTATTGTTATTTATTTATACAGTATTTATTTATACAGTATTTATTTATACTGTATTTATGCAATTTATAGAACGGGCCTTCTCAAATTCATGGCTCTGGGCGGCTAATAAACGTTTGAAACACCAAGTATCACCCCGTCACAACGAGACTAATCCTGAAGAAATGATGGTGAAGAAAAAGAAATATCAAAAGAAATCAAGTTCCAAATTGAAGAAAAAGCTCAAACTTATAGACTATCAAGAAATTTTACCTCAAAACAAAGTGCCGAGGTGGAGAAATTAGGGGTGGGAGAATGTTGTCTGACATGTGAGTTGATAAAAGATGGAATTACAAAATGAAGGCAAATAATGAAAAGTGAATATAATACTGAAATACCATGAGACGAAGAAGAGAAAAAGAGGAGGAGGAGGAGGCGGAGGAGGAGGAGGAGGAGGAGCAGGAATAATTTTGTTTTATTTAGGGGTTGAGTAGGGAATATGCCTCAGGAAATATGAGTAGGAAGCTTAAGACGTTTGGAGAATTTAAGGCAACCGGAATATTTTTAGATCATGAATAAACATGATTAAAAAATAAATAAAAATTGTTCTAGCCAAAGGAGCTGAAAACTCCACTGGTTTGAAGAGGTTCCTCTGTATTTGGAGGTGACAGTGCAAGAAAAAAGAGATTTAGCTTCAGTGAGAGAAACAAAGAATTTAAATGGGGGGGAAGCAGCAGTTAAAAAGCAGTTTAAAGAGAAGGCCATTCACTGCTCGCTCGTGCAGAAAGCCTGTTCTTTTCAGCCTATTTCTTTCCCTATCAAGGTTCCTTCAATTGCTACCTTTCTAATTTTGTCAGTCTTCTGTAATGAAAAAATGGACGATAATGGACACAAAACCAAA